TCCTTTCTGGAGGCTGGTGTCATATATCCCTAAAACCTATTGCTGGAAAAAAGTCACCTGATTGGTTGCTCAAGGTCATTTGTGCGTTCGTTGGTGGTTTCGTTTTGGGTTCCTATTGTTTAGAGTTGCCGCAGAATGAACAATAATTATTAGTGAATAATTCATAAAGTGCTTGAAAGTCTATAAAACTTCAAAGTCACCGGTAAGTATACCATAATTGTGACATTTCCAGTTGTATCTGAGACCAACTTTGCACTTGTCAGCAGATTTCATGACACAGTTGGTTCCTTTATTCACCAGGTGAGCTAGCAATATTCCAAATAAGTAGAGGATAGCAGCACTTTATTAGTGCCTTCGTTTAAACAGTACCTTCGAAAAGAGAAGAAATGGTATGGTGGAACGTCTACACAGACAGCTGAAAGCTGGATTATCAGCTGCAAACAATACCCATTGGACTGAATCCCTTCCGTTAGTTCTCCTAGGGATACGAAACGCCTTGAAAACTGATGCTGGTTGTACTACCACCGAGCTAGTATATGGCACAACACTACGACTGCCAGGTGAGTTTATTTCTCCCTCGAGCTTCTCACCAGCGATAGATCACGCCTCATACGTCAGCAGGCTTACAAAAGCAATGCGTTCAGTTAAACCTGCTCCCCTTCAACCACAGTCCATTGATGTCTTTGTTCACCCGTGTTTGAAAACTTCTTCACATGTATTTGTTCGTCGTGACTCTTTGCATCGACCTCTGGAACCCCCATACGACGGACCATTTAAAGTCATTAAACGTTTAGATAAATTCTTTGTCTTGGACCAAAAGGCCGCAAAGACACTGTCAGCATTGACTGTCTGAAACCGGCTTACTTGGAAGTCAATCCTATTAGCCTAGAGCTGAGCGTACCCAATAATCCACAAATAATAGAATATCCTTTAGTCCTCAAAGAGGTCACTAGCACGGTGAAAGCTACCGAACCTTCTGTCGAGCCCTCTAAGAAAACGCGTTCTGGACGTAACGTAAAATTCCCAGAATATCTTCACACCTATATCACATAACTAAATGGTGCGATTCACCCAACTCATTCGTTTGTGGTATTAATTATATTTTTCTTTTGAGACAAATCATTTTTTTATATAGCATCACTGAGCACAAGTAAAAATATTTTTTTCTGTAACCGTACATGTTACATGCACAAAAAATTAGATGTATATTTTTTCGATGTTCTAAACTTTGCATTATTTTACTGTAGATGCACATCATTTTTTAAACGCTGATTTGTTATATATTTTCCTCCACAAGGTTCTCAGCATTCTTCTCTTCTTTTCCAGGTGCGATTCATGTCGGAAAGAAAACCAACCAAGTACTAAGGAAGCTACAGCAACTCACAACTGGGAAGTCCCAGGTTGTGACGACATCAAGCCATCTGTTCTGAAACAGTGCGCCGAAGCTCTCTGTAGGCCCTTATGCGACTTGCTCCGACATTCAGTGGATTCGGGGAAGCTGCCAAGGGAGTGAAAAAGAGCCATACTTTCTCCGATCTTCAAGGGTGGGGATAGGCGAAATCCTACTAGTTATAGACCAGTAGCCCTACTCCCAGTGGTATCAAAAGTACTGGAAAGTATTATTGACGATCACATCAGGGAATACCTCGATAGATCTGATATACACCATGAAGCCCATCACGGTTTCAGGAAAGGGAGATCCTGTGTAACTAACCTACTATGAGCTTGGGACGACTGAACAATTTTGCACTAAGGTCAATCGAATCCAATCATCTTGGCACAGCTCGTCATCAGGAGTGTCGCAGGGTTCTATCCTAGGACCACTAATGTTTCTGATTTGATCAATGATCTACCAAGCCGCCTAAGCTGCCCGACTCTTCTATACGCTGACGACGTAGAGATATGGAGGGCGGAGGACTCAGATAGACTGCAGGAAGATCTAAACCATCTGGAAGACTGGGCGGTGGCTAGTGGCATGACTTTCAACCCGAAAAAGTGCAAAGTAGTGAAGTTACGCACCTGTTGACTGCAGAATGCAAGTTACACCCCGTGCAATGAAGGCTTGTCCTGCACAATATCGGAACGCGACTTAGGTCTAGTTCTGATGGAAACAATGGACGCAAGCGTAAATTACATGGGGGACGTAGCGAGGACATATGCGGTCATACACTTCACACATAGACAGTTAGGTGCACTCACTCCCGAACTCTTTCTAAGGTTGTACAAAACATACGTCAGACCACACCTTGAAGTGCAGAATATTATAGCACCCTCAATGCTCAGAAGAGACGCCAAGCTCTTGGAAAGAGTCCAAAGACGGGCAACAAAAGGAGTGGTTGGTCTCTGAAACAAACCATATAATGAAAGGCTGAAGAAATTAGGCCTATTCACACTTAGCTACCGTTGTCTAAGGGGGGATTTAATTACTGCCTACAAAATAACAAATGACAAGAATCCCCCAAATAAAGGTGTCCTGCGATTGACTAGGTATAGGCTCCCTCGTGGAAATGCCAGAATGATAGCTCACCAGAGGGCAAGGACCTGGGCGCGCTCCCACTTCTTTTCACTGCGGGTTAGCCGCCGTTGGAATTCTTTACCGGCAGATGTAGCTATGGCACCGTCTGTGGACGTCTTTAAGCGAAGGCTGGACAATCATGCAGCAACACAAGGACTGTGTCCGAATGGCCTATCCCCTTAAAAATCCGTACACCATTCAGGGGTAGACAACTAAATTCATCGTTTTCCTTCCATACATTCCCTCCCATCTTACTCTTCTGACAACTTTAACCACACCTATTATTATTATTATCAATATTACCGATATATATATATAATTCATATTATTCTTCGAATTTAATCAGCTGACTGTTGTTACGCTTTCTGTTTTCTTTTTCTGTCTGTTAGTCTGAATAACTTCACTAATTATATCAATTATTATTATCTCTTCTTTTGACGAAGATACCGGAGGACTAACTGGTGAAAGGATTAACTCCATTCATGGTAGTAATAGTCTTAACACACCTCATACTACAAACCATATATAACAAATCCCAGCCCTACTCCATTGGGAGTCAACCAAAGCTACGACGGTCGAGTGGCGGGACGAGCTACGCAGAAGTTTACCGAAGATCAGGAATCTATACCTCACAATCAAGAGGCGAGCACAAAGAAATCATATTGGTTTATACTAGCTCGTAAAAACGATACTGGATATTGGATATTCGGCACTGGACAAGAAGCAAACGAAGCAGGAGATCCAACGGACAAACATCACCGAGGCGATGAACAGACACCCTATTAGCATAGGTAGACGGAACATTAGGCACTCCACCAAGCCGCTCGGGAAAGTTTTTTTCATCCATGAGGGAACCATCGAGTTTTTTTACTTTCCGCTGGTTCTGTCTTAGGGTCCTCACAACCCGACCGGGGGGGAGTGAGCTGTAGCCGTAGATAATTCCCCAAAATTATTGACCACATCAATCATCACTGAACATTGGATGCTGACCTTCACTGTTTTAGTCGACTTGTTTAGCTGAAGGCTTCCGGTCAAGCATCCATGCCATTTGGTACTCCATCGTGTCACGTTCGTGCACGATCACTAGCCAGCTAAGCATTCACCTCAGTACACGATTTGGTCCCGAAATATATCTCGTAGTTTGGACGATCAATTCTGTTGTTTTGCTTTGCCTTTGGAACACGAGGAACGAATATTATAGAAGTTGTTGGTACTAGATCTTGCGTTAGTATACTCCGTACAATTCGCAAACGTCAATACCGTCAGCCTCTAAACATATGTGATGTAGTGGCCATGGTACTGCTCGCATTGTTAGAGAGCTAAGACCTATCGATACTCAACAGCCTGGCCGGATGAACTAAATATCTTTGACATATATTTTGATTTATGAACTCACTTAGACGGAAGAAGTATGCTAAACACATATTTATTGGTTTGCAGGGTTTCCGAAAGCCATTATATTAGAAAATGCATTAGCAGGCATAAATGCTAACAGCTGGTGAAGTTTGTTAGATGAAGGATGTCAACAGGTTCGCGAGATATGCCCATATGCAGATGCAATTGTGAGTCCTCCAAATCTCAGTATGCTTTTTCTACTTAAATGGGACTTCTGTCCACAGGCCTTATCAATAAACAAGGCAAATTCTTTATTTTGATTGAATAAACATACGGAGACAAGTGTAAATGTCTCCCTAAAATCAGAGGGGGTAAGGTTCTGTCGTCAGTTTTGAAGTCTAAGCGTAACAATTGGACATTTCCTTGTTTGAATTTCGCATAAGTGTGCGGCAATTTATAAGTTACACTTTGTTTCCGTGTCATGGGAGTTGCTTATTGTTTTCTGGTGATAGTCACATGCTTCATTGGTAAATAATGTTTACCTGCTTAAAATTTTCTTTTCATTAAAACCAACGGTATTAAACTTCACTGTGTTCCTCACGTATTCCTAAGATTTTTTGAAACTGGAACACTATCAGACAGTTACATCTTATTTGAACCACAATATGGTTAATATAAGTTAATGATCACCGATTTTTATCATTTGTTCTTGTCATATGTTGACTGTGTAAACTTTTATGAAGAAATACACATATAAATATGTCTACTTTGATATATTTAAATGCAAACAAGAAATATATTATATCTACTGAATTTGTAATACTAGGCCCTTTGGTTTAATATTCTTTGAAAAATGCAAAGGCGAAATATTGAAACGCACGTATAGAAACGTATACAGTTCATCGGGAGTAACTGAGTAACTGATAGAGTAGTCGTGCTTCAGAAATTTGTCCCTTAATTCAAGCAATCAGACTTACAGTGACCTTACAGTTTGCCTCTTCTATTAAGAAAAAATTCGTCAGACGCTTTCTCGCAAATGCTGAGACTACATAAAGATACCTTTACAAGCATAGAATTCACTCAGCTTTCCTTCGTCTGAAGACAATTTTTAGATAGACGAAGCCTCTTTGCAAACCGTTTTGTGGGCTGAATGACATGTCTTCGCTGGCCAGGTTAGCCATAGTAAACCTTCTCAATTAATTCATTGTTTTTGACGAGACTGATAGTTTCGTCATTTAAAGAACGTTAACTAGGATTCCTTTACTGAGGGAACATCGAGTTACTCAAACCAAACACTAACATTTTTTGCCTAAGAGATTGTCCAGAGATGGAAGTTGGAGAATCATTTACGCAAACCGACAACATACTTGGAAGTCTTAACTGTATATACAGTATTATTATTATTGTTGTCAACTGACGTCCATAAACACAACTGTTTCTAGGTACGGAAAGTAGTTAAAATGTTTTATTTAAAGGCATTTAAGTAGTTATGACTTATTAAAATAAATGCGATTAGAATGTATTAACAGCTTTGATGTGATATTTTTGGCATCACTGTATGTCCATTAGTTCATTCATAAGACCAAATTCAGAGGATTTACATTAAATGATGGACAAATAAGAATTACCAACAAAAGCACAACACGATCTAGTGGTTCTCACTATCAACAGTTTATTGAAAGCACAGATAGTGTAGTTTGCTTTTACTGGATGTATATGGAAGTAGTAATGAGTTGAAAGGAATTTACGTGAATTTACTACACATAGGAAAGTTTTCTTCCCCAAACGCAAGAATGCAAACGTTTAAACATTACCAATAATTGGGAAAATATACTTTATTGAAAGCTGTATGAACTAACTTTCGACTTAAAATGAATTTATTGCTGTTTCTTGGCTTCTTTTCAGCTACCTACAATTGTGGTAGCTGTAGTGGGCTTATTCTTGACCAGATCCTAGTAAGGGTAAACAAGACTCATTTATAACTTTTCACATCCGATCGTCTTTGACCCCAAACGGCAATCAAAATATTTGTTTGATCTATGGCGCTGTTGTTCGCTCTACTCTATAGCCATGAGATATGGCTGCTGAAGACGACTGATGTAAAAAGACCAGTAGTTTTTGAACATAGGTGGATCATTTCAGTTTGCCCTGTTAAGCAAAGTAATATGATTAGTAATAACAAAGCTAGGCGTGCAATGCCAGTCAAGTTGGGAAATTAAGATTATGAGATTGTAAAGCCTTATCTGTTGATGTTGTTTGAAATGTTAATATGTGTATCCATATATATATATATATATATATATATATATATATATATATATGAATCAGAGACCTAGCGCGTCACAAAGGGCATTTCGAACAAACTACAGACCTTCATCAACAGCTGTCTTCGCTCAGTACTCAGCATCAGATAGTTGGCCAGAAAAGATCAGCAGCAGGGATATCTGGCAGCTTACCAACCTAGCAGGAACTAAATGTGCAGTAAGAAATGGAAGTGGATTGGCAATACTCTGAGATAGCCATCAAGTGAAATCACACTTGATGTCAAGTGGAACCCAAATGGGATGTGGCGAGTTGGTCGTCAATGCGAGGGTGACATGGAGGAGGTCATATGAAGAGGAGATAAAAGAATGTGTGCAGAAGCGGAGCCAGGTGAAAACGTTAGCAGAGAACCGAACGCAATGAAGACGTGTGGCTGAAGCCCTATGTTCCACTAGGAACTAAAGGAAATTATAACAATAATAAATATCATTTCTTGCCAGCCATTTGGTCTTCAGGACAGAATGAAGGCAGATGTTGCTAGATGCCTGAAGCCTATAGGAAATGCTTTTTATGTTGCGCCAAGTCTTTGAACCAAATAGAAAAAGCGACTTGACATTAGGGTTGAGAATTCGAATATTATTCTTTATGCTTAGTACGGTAGGTTTTCACACTGATTCCAGATCAGTGAAGTGCTGTCTTGCTTTTCCAACTTTGGCTTTCACATAATCATCTGTGCCACCTATAGTTCAAACTGAAATATCTTTCTAGTTGATTTCACTCTAGCCAACCGTAAACACATATCCTATCAGACTGCACAATTAAAAGTACTGTTTCTTTTTAAGCATAGTAACGAAGATGAAATTAAATGAAGATATCAGTAATAACTTCTGATGTGACACAAGACAGGTGGAGGTATGATGAAAAGTGAGAATTAATTACGAAGTAGCTTAGTGATTAAAGCAACTAACTAGTTATGGGATAAGTGTGTGAATAAGGTGTGAAGTCATGCTTTTCACTAATAAAAATTACTATTTTCTGATATAAGACAAATCAGCCGGATCTAACATAAGAAGGTCTATAAATTTTGTCCAATATTAACATTTGTCATTTTCATTCCAGGTAATATCTATACGCGGGATCCAGCGTATATAACTGCTCTTACTGTTACCAATGTAAAAAATTTGACGAAAGAAAATCCCATTATGATGATTCTATTTACAGTTGACTGGTAAATATTTCTGTTGTTTTTAAAGTGTAGAAAAGTTATTTTGCATATCACATTGTATACTATGTGAAACATTCTTAGGGAGTTGAAAAATGTATGAAAATCTCTTTACTACTAATAAGTAGTTTAAAACATCTGCAAGATTTTGATTTAGTTTTTATTCGTAGGTTGATAAATTCTTAATACATTTATGTTCTACTAAGGTCATTCTTTAATAAACACATCGCTAAATACATACAGTTACTAACTAATGATATTGATCTGAGGGTTAATAGGAAAGACAATAATAACATGATAGGTTGAAGAAATAAAGGTAGTTAATGCATGTATTAATAAGAATGATGAAAACAGCACGCTTACACAGACAATTCTAAAATAATAATGTCTTTATTCCGGACAATATTTTAATGTATGGTATGGGATTTTCAGAGTATTTAAATTGGAAAATATCTACTCTTCGTGCAGGATTTTTAGGTCAAAGTGGTATTCGGCAGTGCGCTGTGTGACGACGTTTTGTTCCATCTGAAGTAATATCCAATCCCCTATGATATTTTCCCCATCATTTCCTTTGAGAAGTGCTCAGCGAATTAAAACTGTACATGATTTCATGTGGCTACCTAGAAAGACATTAAGGTGATTGAAACAACAAGAAATGTAGAAGAGTTTATGCATTTTGATGTAGTTGTGTTCTCTGAGCTGGATAGTTTATTTAAAGTGACTTCAAATTGAAGTATGTGCCAAAGATGTTGCCTAGTAGGGCAATGAAAGCTTTGGAAATAAACAATCCAACTCAGAGAACACAACTGCATCAAAATCATCCACCTGAGCTACTAATCTTCTCCATCATAGTTTATGCATCATACCAAATGGGAATTTAAGTAGCCCATAGACTTAAATATGTCGCCAATATTGTTTTAACGATACTGGATCATAACCTTATGGAACTGGAAGCTGAACAACACTACGGATGAAATAAATGGATAAGTAGTCCTTATAAATAATACTTATCTATGAAACAGTTGACAAATAGAGAGAATATTTAATGGCTAACTAATGAATTTAGTCTGGTTTTGGCTTAGAAAAGCAGAACTGCAGAACTCCAACGAAATAGACGGAAATTGTTATCCTAAAACCATTAAGAAGGTTCAGTATAATGCAAAGAATTATCTTCCTTATTTATACAGTGGTTAACGACCAAATATGACAAGACTAAGATATGTACTAACTTTACTGACCGCCTCACTGATTACAAATACTACAAAAACTTAACAACACGCTTAGCTTCAATCATGCTTATATCCACTTAGCATAGACTTGTAAAATGAATAAATCGTGTCCATGAACTTTAGGACAAAGAAGTTATAAGTGAAGTTGATAGTTGTTAATGTGAATGGTAAGTCTGTGGCATTCTATAATGTTTTGTTACTGTTTACCAACTTGTATCAACAAATATCTGAGAACAGTATCGGTTTCCAAGTTCAAGTACTTATTTTTTCTGCAGTTACGTGTCAGTTGTGCTCTAGATGCATATTTTACCTTGAACAGTATGTAATATAAACAAATGCATGTAATCAATGTGACTTTATTGTAAGGCGCAGTGATCTATTTTGAAAAACGTGGATAAACTACATTCTACCTACCGTTACGTTAACGCAGTATTTTTCTAAAAACTTGTGATCAAAACGTTGACAGAAGAGTAGACGTTTCTTTCATTTATTCAAATTTCCTTTAAATATAGATAAATATTCGCGTAAATATTGAAGAGGTTAAATTGTTTTCTATATCCAACAGGTGTAGGTTAGGCTGTTTAACTGAGTAGAACAAACTTAATTTTTCCAATTTCCATTAGCATAGAACAAGTTAAAATGGTGAAAAAAAAATTGAAAGATACTCACCTGAAATTAATGACTTTATAGCTTATTAAAAGTGACCTTTGAGAGGTCAGAAGAATGCAGGATCTAAGGGGAACTCACTTTTCTTCAAGAAACTGTTTATTTCAATGGCTTACTTATTATACAATTCGGAGTTTTCTCACACACAGCCAGTAGGACAATAAAATCACAAGGATAACAGTTACTAGACCTATGGATATTTACTGCAGTATGAATTTTATGCTAAGTTTCTCAATGTATGTGAGGTGTGATTTGCAATTTAAGGAATATACATATATATATGTGCTCACGAGCTGACTCAAGTTACAGAACCACTGGAAATCCAGGGAGTACTGGACAGCTGTTTCATCCTGGTTTGGGACCCTGTAGCAGTATGAACCTGCCTGGCTTCGAAAACAGATATTCATGTCATAAGGTAGAAGTTGGAGTTCATGGGTCGATCGGGTCCCAATAGCTGAACGATCTGCGAGGTCACCTTGTCACCGGAAGGTCTTGGATTTGAATTCTGGTGGATGCGTATTGATAAAGAGCCCCAAACCAGGACGAAACAGCTGTCCAGTACTCCCAAGTCTTCTAATCGTTCTCTAACTCGTGTCAGCTTGTGGTCGAACTTGTAACCAATCAAATCCATGCAAACCAACACAATATATCTTGTTCTAACACAATATATATATATATATATATATATATTCAGAAAAATTTCAGAAATACGTTTTTCTCCAATACATAATAGGAAAGCATTGCTGCATCAAGTTTAGAGGTAGTACTGGTGTTTATATATATATATATATATATATATATAATTTCTCAATGTTGATGTTTCTAACATTATTTTACGCTATTTAGTCTAAGAATAATGAATACAAATGCAAGCTAAAATATATTTATAAGTATTGACATGTTATCTGTCAATGTGCTGTGACTGTAACTGATAAATATTGGTAGTAAGGTGTTGCTTTCCGTGTAACTCTGTATTATTTAAATAATACTGCATGCAACCTGAAAAATGTTTAATAATAAAAGCAGTTGGATTTGTTTTCAAACAAAGTCAAATAGCTCTCTTTTCAACGAATTGAAAAATGATACTTTCGATTTTATTTTGCCATTTGTTTCTTTGTATCTAATATTTGTATTTTACACAAATATCAGTATGTTCCTATTCAGTTGTACAGCTATTAGTTTTTATTTCTCTTATCCACGTTATAATAATGTAATAGGTGTACAAAATGTCATCTGGCTTGGTCAGAATATAAATTACTAGCACGAGAAGTAAATCAGTTAAGTCTACCTGTTCTCATGACATATGTCAATCAAACAACTGATGAAATTCTGGTGGATGAATTTCAAATAAAAGAGTTTCCTACTGTTGTGTTAATGAATTATGGGGAGAAATTATATTATCATGGCGTGTATTCTACACAAGGTAATTTAAGTAGCCAAATTTATACTGCTGACGTTTTATTTAATAATAAATTGAAGACTAATCAGTATAAGTAATGTAGTTCAATATTACTTTTCTCTTTCGAATATGCCTTACATAGGCCTGAAAACAGCTCACTTCAGTGTCGTCTCATATCTTGGCGATTTCTAAGAAAATATTCCGTCTTACCTTCTATATCGAGAAGTTAAAATATTCTGGTATAACCTAACCCTTACTCTTACAATTCGTTAACTCTCGCATTCTGCCTATTATTCTCTATTGTTCCCCCTTAGTTTTTCCCGGGCTACTGAAGAAAGACTATAACATATTACGCAGGATGTTAAAGGTTATCAGCAGGGTAAGCAACGTGCCACTTAACCAGCTTGTTAATATTCTGGTTTACAGGCACATGGACTCATGCGAAAAATGGGCCAAATCTATTTTATCTAACTCACACCACCTTCTTCACTCACAACTCTCCCCTTGCGTCTCATCAGGTAAAACCAGAAGCCTATATAGAAAACTGTATGCTCGCACCGGCAAGTACAAAAACTCAACCATACCCTACTTAGCTCGTGTTCTGTGTGATAAAGAAAGCATTAGACGTGACACCTATAATTCATTAAATAGTCAGTAGTACAACTGGGTCTCGTCTTTCCAACTCACATCATTTATAGGTACAACATTTTCTTTCTTTCTTTTCCTCTTCTCTCTCTTTTTTCTTTTTTTCCGTTATGTGCTGCTTTGTTTCTTTCTTCCGCTTACGCCAGTAAATATGACAGCACCTACTTTTCTAACACTGTTCAACTTTGGCTTTGCTACCGACATGCCAATATGTTGTTGTCATAATGAACTGAGATTTCCCTAATCTATGTAGAATTCTATTTATTGATAATGTACTAACTGGATGCAATACTGTAGTAAAAATGCTGAGAATTCCATTCTGTATCACAAGTACTGTTTTGGAATAAAGCAAATTATTATTATTATTATTATTAAAATTATTCACTCATGCAACAATGAAAAAGAATAAACCTTATGAAGATTCAGATACCAACACTGTCACTATATGTAATATTACGATATAAAATTAAGCTGATGTATTCATATGAATAAAGAGTGCATGTTTGGATTAAGTTTCATTAAAAAAATAATATGATCCTTTTTGATTAGACACCAACTCGTGTCATATATCTAGTCCTTTATTTACTTCAGACTGAATTCTATCAAGTATTGGTTTTGTAGGGATTTAGTTTGATTGAATGGAGGATTTCATGATGAGCTGATATCATTCAGAGAACCTGGAAGTACTCGATAGCTGTTTCGTCCTAGTATGGGACTCTTCATGAGTACTCACACACTGCGGGGTTAGAACCCAGGACCTTCTGGTTACAGGGCTAGTGAGCTCGTAGACCAGTGGTCAGTGAATGAATTCTAACTTCTTCCAATCCATGACATAGCGCGACCACTTCGCAATGTCTTCTTAGCTTCGAACCCCGGTGAATGCGTACTGATGAAAAGTCCCAACCTTGGCTGACGAAACAGCTGTCCAGTACTCGCAGGTTTTCCAATGGTTCTCTAATCAATGTCAGCTCATTTTGAATTCTGCCAGTCAAGTTTACAATGTGGCCACCATTCTACGTAGCTGGCCACACTCAGGATTGTTGTTGTTAGATGGTTGGAGGCGATTGACAGGAAGCCTTGCTTGACCTAGGTTTCGTGCTAGTTGGCGCTCACCAGTCATCAAGCCGTATCTCCAACCTTGAAGAGACTCATGTTCTTCCCCTTGAGATTTGAAGCCGTATCAACCAGTGCGTCAGTCAGAGACGTTACCACTGAGCTATTAGGGCCCACGACTGACCTCCTGTAGGACCGTATTACTAATTAGTGTTACGAAACCTAGGTCTAGCAAGGCTTCCTGCCGATTGCCTACGACCCTCTAATAATGTGATAATTCGTTTGAAAACTCATCAACTACTAGTTCATTTATTCATACTTCTAATTCTTTCTTTTTTCTTGATTATTCATCATTCAAGCTTTATTAGACTTTCTCAAAAGTGAAATTGATTCCCCGATAAAACTTTGCTCAAGTGTTGAAGATATTGAAATACATCGGGAAAAAGATGATGCTGTTTTACTTGGTTTATTTCACACAACTAAACACTATAATTTTCTCAAGTTTAAACTAACAGGTAGTTAATTGATATGGTTAAAAAAAGCATTTTGATATTTAAAGATAAATTCACTTATGTATATAATTTAAAACGGATGATTTTGTTACCAACACATTTGTTTTCCACATTCGTCTGAATACTGAGTGGAGCAAAAGGTTTCAAGTTTAAACTCTGAAGTTTCACCGGTGCTCTATATTTATTTGTTTATTACATATATTACACAGTCAAACAGTATTATTAACTGGATTGAATTTTGAAAATACTATGATTTTTACATCATATCCAGGAAATAATACCGTTTCACTGTGCGTCGATGGCAAAGCGGTAGAATGCTTGTCAAGCACGCAGATGGTCTAGGGTTCGATCCCCGACCGACACACTCCTTTACCTCAATTTGCCATTAATAAGACTGGTAAAAACGAAAGGTTGGGCATGAGGCTAGCAACCCCATCCCATAAAAATAAACATTACTGCTACCGAAACTTCTAAGCTCCATAGCTCAAAGTCCCATGGAGTAAAAAATAAAAACTATGTGGTTTCCTGGAGAAGTTCATGCGACGAGGAGATGACAGATTATGGAGAATCGTGGCCCCAGGTGGAGAGGACAGCAGAAAATAGAAGAAAGTGGAGATCTCTTGCTGAAGCCCTATGTTCCGCGTGGAACCCAAGGGATTAATAATAATACTATGTGATATATCTAATAAACAAATTAATACGGAATTACATACTACTACAGTGCTCAAGTTTTACGCATACATTAATTCCAGCATTATTGCTGCTATTTCTACGGCGTAAAATTGTAAGCTTCACACTTAGCCTTTTTTCTTTACAGAGCTTACTACAGGTTAAGCGAGGTATAGCAATGTGTCAAGTGGAAACTGAACCCGGATCACGTGCGTGGTCCTCTAGCATATTATATTATTATTATTATATGTTTTCAACTTTAAATGAAGCATAGGACAATAAATTAAAATAAAATTTCTATGACTTTTTCAGATTCTCCAGTTGTACGTCCATAATAGTCAAGTAATAAATGTGTATTAATAAGAATAAGGTTTATATAACATTCATTATCAAAAGCTGGAAACCGGGAGTTTTATCAATAAAAATTTATGTGGAACAACAGAATAAGGTTTACAGCAACCATGTATCTAAGAGGTAATCATTACAGACAAAGTGAGAAATTCGGCAGCTGAAGAATTTGATCTAGAGACCTCCGAACTACTTGTCAACCTGGGCTACGAAACCCTACTGTTAACGAGGTTATTATTTCACCATAAAAACCACCAAGTATATGTTAATGTGTATAAATGGGTGATAAATAAGGATGAATTATGTAATACTGTATGCATATGATGAAATTTAGGAAGATGAATTCCAACATAAATTAGGGAATAGGAAATAGATTAGAGAGATGTGTGGGAATGTTAGTACTCAGTTTAGTGAACAACTGAATAAAAAAAGATAATCTAAGGAGATAAGCTGCTAATCCGTATAAGTGTATAAATGAATTAAATACATTCATTTGATGAAATAAGATATGAGAAATAAGTACAATGTAGCATAAATTTTCGTAGTGAAGAACAATTTTGAACTGCTTTGATAGTTCAATGCTAGAATTCTGTCCGATGGTGCACATGGTTTAGGTTTGATTCCCGGCCGACTCATTCTACACAGCTACCGAAACTTCAGATCCCAAGCTTAAAACCCTACATTCTGGTCGGTATACAAGATGGAATGGAAAAGTAAAACCAGACCGGAGAAATTTTACCAAGAGTTTGTCGTCCATAGTATCGTGTAAGTCTCATACTGTTTTCACTGGGGAATGTATCGAATTTTCACCAAGAACTATATGATTTGCTGAGGCTAGTTTGCTTATTCCAAAATAAATGAGAGTCTCAATAGTAGTAGTGTGGCGTACACTACTAGCATGAGTTTGTGCGTAGTATACTGGCGAAATAAGGTGATCACTTCAAAGGCTTCTTGAGTCGGCCATCACCTGCAACTCGTCTAGAAATACTACCAACAGCAAGCATAGAACTGCCAGTGGACACCAATCCTCCAATAAAAGAAGCCGTCTTGAGTGCAGTCAAGCTAATGGAAGCCAGCCTGAAAGGCTTCAAGGTCTAACGGAATCCCCTCCCCTGAAGCACTGAAAACGGGAGCACAGATTGGGGCAGATATGCTGACGCCATTATTGCGAAAGGTTTGGAAAGAAGGAAAGGTACCTACCGATTGGAAGAAAGGCTGGCTACCTTGTCAGACTATCAAAGAAAGGCAACTTACACCTCATTCTACAAGAACTGGCGTGGAATAACGCTCTTGTCCACGTCAAGTAAAATACTAAGTCGTATCATTCTGGGCAGAATAAAAGATGCACTGGATGTAGAACTCCCCCAAGCGGGACAAGCTGCATTCAGGGAACGCAAATCATGTGCTGATCAAATTGGAACTCTACACACTATCGTCGAACAAAGCATGGAATGGCAGTCAAACCCCTACCTCAACTTAATCGATTTCTAAAAAGCCTTCGACAGACGGCATTGATCGAGAAGTAATTTGAAAACTAATTCAGCAAAATGGACTGCCCCATATCTTTATATGACAACGCCATGTGTCAGGTGATCTACAATGGAAAGCTCTGCGAGACGTTGGAAGCAAACACAGGGGTAAGACAAACTGGCTGCCTATTATCACCTATGATATTCTTAATTGTGGTGGACTGGATTATGCGTCAGACTGTAGGGAGAGAGGGGTCAGGAATACGCTGGACCACCGATTAGAAGACTCTAAAAGGTTTGGATTTCGCAGATGATAAATGTCTAATGTCACTGAAAATCCAAGACTTAGAGGCAGGCGCAAACCAACAAACTGGCTGAAGAAGCAGGAGGCAAAAACAGGACTGCAAGTGAACACAGAGAAAACAGAGATGACGAAGATAACCAACCAGTGGCAACAACCAGCACCAATCACCATCAACGGGAGAGATTCAACAGAGGTTAACTCCTTCCCTTATCTAGGAAGCAATGTTTCAACCACAAGTAGTCGGAACGGATGAAGATGTCAAAGCCAGCATGAATCGGTAAGGCAAGGTACACCTTCGCCACTCTGAAATCGGTTTGAAAATCCTCTACACTCAGCCAGCATAAACAAAAGGATTCTAATTTTCAACAACAATGTCAAGTCAGTCAGTTCTTCTATATAGGTGAGGAACTTCATTGGTGTGTCCTGAAGAGCATTTTTAATAGGTTGCAGACTTTCATCAACAGCTGCCTTCACTGACTGGAGTCAGTTCTAGCAGGTGAACTATGGGAACGAACTAACCAATAACCTTTCATCCATCAAATATGTGGGAGAAAGTGGAGATGGATGAATTGGGCATACGTTGAGTAGACCGTTGAGTGACATCGCGCGCAGTGTAGGCCATTGCATTAGTGGAATCCAAATGAGGAGTGACGAGTGGGTCGTCGGTACGAGGGTGACATGGAGGAGATCGGGCGAGGTGGAGGAGATGAGAGATTATGGGCAATCATGTGGCTGGCCAGCTGGAGAGGACAGTAGAAAATAGAAAAAAGTGGAGATGTTTTGATGAAGTCCTGTGTTCCACTCAGAAACCAAGAGACAGCGGAGCGAAGGATGACGTTGCAGAGACGAGCAACGAAGGTACTTTTGAAATAATATGGAAAACATGAAATCAAAACAAAAGAAGCGGTGTATGAATAACTTGTATAAACTGAAGTTTTGACGCAACGTTTTTATATTTTGCCGTTGATGTAAGTCATTTTGCCGAAAATAATAATTACATACCCACATACTACTTACTGCATTCTGCCATTATAACAACCGTATTTGCTGCGCCTGTTTCTTTTGCATATAAACTTCTGATTGTTTGAAATGAATCTCTACAGTATGACTAAAGCTCCTTTTTAAACTGTTTTTTAATAACAACTGATTTACATACACCATTCTAGCACACAACTTCTTGACCCTTCCATCTAGCAAAATTCATACTGAAGGTCATAGAAGATCACTAAACCAAATAACAGAGGTAATAGTACATCTGCTATGGTATCAAAACAAAGTTTACCAAGGAAGGTTTAGTGTGATAATGAATTGTTTTTGAACGCATAAAAAGGGGTTTAAACTTCCTAACTGCCACCTAAAGCTTGCACAAACTTTAGGACACACCCCAAACACGTTCTATAGATAGGTTTAAAAGACATATAAGCATCGGTTTTATGTCCTATCTCTGTAATGTGTTTTGCAATAAAGGAGCTAGGTTGCCTGTTCTCATCACTAATGGCTTCTGGGGATTCTGTTTGCTTCTGAAACCATTCAAGAAGGTGCTCTGAAGCGCTCACTTGTAGAGATCGGTGAGTTCTGTTTAATAATTTCTATATATTCCTATGACAAGTCCATGTGTGATCAGATTGTTCGAAATATGTTGTGCAAATACATGACACAATTCAGACAAATTACATCTTCTTATTACTTTGTCTGAATTCATTAAGGGAACCAATTGTTTGAAATTTGAAATTCTTACTATTTTCAACAGTTAAAAAATACATTTTGCTTCTATTATATATGAATAATTTTAGTAAAAATAATTAAAGAAGCAAAATGAATGAATATATTATTTTTGATCACACGTCTCAAATTAGATTAATGACGTAAACCATGAGTTTTAATTAGCTCACTTCACCATAGAGTTGTTTTTCTCTATAGATAACTTAAAATTATCTTCTGATATGCCTACTTGATGAAAAGTATATGGCGTCTAAGTGTCTGCTAAGTTGATGAAAACATCTAATTTTCAACTGTTGAGATTGTGAAGATTCAACTGATTTACATTAACAACATTTCAGTTAGGCTGTAATTTTGCTCTATAATGAAGAGGCATATACTTCATGCTTGTACAAATGAGTTAAGAAGTGACATTTTGTAATATGTATTAGAAGCATTGGAGTTCACGTAAAGTGTGTTCTTTATTTTACGAAGTACTACTTTACCTAATTGAAACAAATGATGCTTACAGTCTTAATTAATAAGTATGACATCATATCACATATCACTAGAGTATGTGAAGTCCAGCAGTAGCAAAACATTTTGATTTGATTGTTTGTCTCTTAGTAATAATTTCGATTTTTTTTCCATTCCTCTTCGTTCCCAGTGGAACATAGGGCTTGAATCTTTGGAGCTTAGAAGTTTCGGTAGCAATGGTGTTTATTTTTACGGGATGGAGTTACTAGTCTCATGCTCAACCTTTCCTCTTTACCTGGTATTACTTTTGGCCTAGCGAGGTAAAGGAATGCATTGACCAGGGATCGAACCACGAACCATATGAGTGATTGGAGACCATTCTACCGACGTATAATTTCGACAGTTTTTCAGCAATAATACCTTCTGTGAAATAAACCAATGCGTTTATTAAATTATAAGCCTGTTTACTCAGTTTTATCTGTTTTTCTGAGTTATGCCAATTTGGTAAATAACTCTGTTTCAAAAGAGCTAAAATAAAGATAACTAGAGTGATTAAGTTCCTCTAATAGGAAAGCCTTTATAATGTATTGTATTTTGTTTACTCTCACCAGAAATAAGTAGAGACCAGTTATGTTACATTTAGAAGAAGTACAAGATAGGTGGAAATTTCGCTTGTTATTTTAAGAAAACTTTGAATTTCATTGGAGTTTTAGCTACCATACTACCACTACGACTACTGTAGTCATCCTTTTCTGGTTAACCACGGAATTCGGCCATTACAAAAAGAAGGAGAGAACAATGGTGTCAGAAACACTTCATTTATAGAAAGAGATATTAGTTTCGGAAGCTTTGAATATTTTCAAGAAAAGTTAACACATGAATACAAAAAAAATTAACTGAACGATTCTTACTGATGCTGAACTATTTGTCAGACAACATAGCTCAAAAGAAGTAGTAATCTTAATTCAGGTTTCATGAACTGATTCATTGAAGAAATCCCTAAACGATCGAAAGGGTAGTTCAACATTTGCACCACAGATGAGCAGTAACGTTTGATATGAGTGGTGTCCAGCCAAGTATATTACTCACTGGTGAAGATCTTATTTTATTGTCTCTGTCGACATTATTCACAGTTATAAGTTTCCAGACCTTGGATGTTACGAACTTCCTGGAATAATCTGAGCACCGAGTCAGATTGATACATGATAAATTATTTAAATTAGTCCCAGTGCGTTTAAGAAAAATCAAAACAAGATTTTTCCGAACGTTTCGCTCTGTAAGCCACAGATTCCTCATCAGAATTATGCGGATTTTATTAATCACCAAAATATATGGTCAAATATCTTTTTTATATAAACTGAAGTCAGTTTATTTGAAGGTAACTTGTAGATAGACAGAGTAACGTTCAGAAAAATTTTGTTCTGATTTTTTCTTAAACACGCTGGGATTAATTTAAATAATTTATAATGAATCATTCACAGTGTTTCAAGTGGGCACATAATTAGATCTGAAAGTTTCAGACTTGTAGAGGAGGCCATGGTGAGAATTCATTTTGAGATGTGAAGACTAACTAGGTTTTGTTCTCAAAATGCTGGAACTTGAACTACTGGACTACTGTGCAAAGTCAAATAAAAATTAGCATGATTATTAAGGTGAATCTTTCAGTGGCTTCAAACTGAAGTAAATTTATTAAGGAATTCAGCCCTGTCTTTTAAGTTAGCATTTGCTTATCTTGATTTTCTAGCCAAAAAAGCATATAAATATATTAAACCAATGGTTTCAACAACGAAGACAGTTCTTCAGCATTTCAACAGTGATCAGACCAATTATTCAATTTTAATATTAAAATCAACACGTTTTTCACCCAATCATTTACCGGACAACATAGTGAATGTAACAAATGTGAGTTGTTATTTCTGTTTCTCAAAATCGTATTTACAATAAAGTTAATGCTCTATTGGTTGGTCAGCAGCTCAAACCAATGCAGATTGAGCACATTCAGGGAAATAGTAAAATATTCAGTAAATTAAATTCACAATTATCAAATTAATTTGCAATTTATACAGTTTGAGGAGGTGATTATTTCGTTACAGTCTCCTTTGGAAAGTGAAATTATTCATGTCACAGTGTATGGGATCTGCTTGATGCCATAAATGTCAATCAAGAAACATAAGATTGCGTCGTTGGTTCAGTGGTAGGACACTGGCAAACCAAGCAGCTGGTCCGGGATTCGATCCCCGACCGACGCACACCTGTACCTCACTTAGTCTGTAGTAAGCCCGGTAAAGAGAAGAGGTTGGGCATGAGGCTAGCAGTCCCATCCCGTAAAAGATATCACTGCTGTTGAAACGTCAAAGCTCTAGCCTGAAGCCCAATGCTCCACTAGGAACTCAAGGGAATAAAAAAAGTAAAACAGAAACGTAAGTGCAAAACTATGTACTACTGATTGGCTGAGATAAGTAGTTGTATACCACTGATATCAATCAGTAGTGACTCCTAGATAGATTGAATTGATCTAAACACTGGGGGTAGGGGCATTTCACTCTCCTGGCGTTGAGCTCATCTGCTGAGAGAACAGAATCTGTTCAGTAACATTTGATTATATAATTAGTAACTTCTTTAAGTCTGTGAAAAGTTTAATATTATAAATAAAGGATTCATTGTAAATTATTTAAATTAATCCCAGCGTGTTAAGAAAGTCAAAACAAGATTTTTCTGAACTTTTCGCTGTGCAAGCCACAGCTTCTTCAGCAGATTTATTCGGATTTTTATTAATCATCAAAATATATAGTCAAAAATTTTACATACATTTGCTGAAGAAGCTGTGGCTTACACAGCGAAACGTTCAGAAAAATCTTGTTTTGATTTTCTCTTAAACACGCTGGGATTAATTTAAATAATTTATAATGAATCAATCTGACTCGGCGCTCAAATTATTTCAGGAAGTTCGTAACACCTACGGCCTGGAAACCTATAATAAATAAAGGATATTTATCAGTTAGATTCTATAAAATACGAAGCTGCAACAGAAAATGTAATACATTCAAGTATAATAATTTTTTATTTAACTTTTATTCGCTTTATAGCTTTATGAAAATGTCTCTCTAAATGCTAAGCAAATTGTCAATGAAATTAAGTATAAACAACTTTCACCAGTCGGTTTGTACAATCATCATTCATCTGCCTTATATAATTCGGTTGAAAATATTACTTTGTGTATCGTTACATTTCCGGTCAGTTTACAACAACGTAATTATAAAGGTAAATCTTGAAAGTTTTTACTAAAAATTCGACAATTTTTCTTTAAACTACATTTTTTATGTGAATACTTAGAAATATTTAACAGTTATCGGTATATCAAAAGGCGGTATGGCGGTTTTCTTAGCTCCTGCAAAGGACAAATAAAACTAATATTTAGTCTGACTGACTGACTGGATTCAACGTAGAACTTTGCATGGATGTGCTACAGTTCGAGTTGCTACACTCCCTCCATGTAGTACACAAAGCAAGAGAAGGGAGAAATAGTAATATGGATATGTATGGCGAATCCCAAAGAGTGACTGCATCTGTACCAGCCATTGAGAACGATTTTGAGACACATCAGCAATTGTCTATAGCCACTGGTTTTTACCATCTCGAGCACCCCGACCAGTCAGGAAGTCTATACCTCCCTATGTGACTGGCTTAAACTAACTATCGTGGAATGCATTGACTGATGAAGCCATGTTTTGGTTTGACCACAGCTAGCTCTTTTCCAACCTCATCTATCCTATGTTAGTCAGGTAACACTGCCCGTCGGTTGAGGAAGGTAATGGTTAGAAATGTATGTGTAAGACATGTCCAGAATATCTTTTTCAATCTGTGTAACTTCACAACCTCATCGATTGATTTCCCCTCCTAACTAGCAGTCGACTGAAGCCTAACTCCAATATTGCTCACCGTATTACACCTACCAATTAACACAGGAGATAGAACGCAAACACCTTTGATCAAAGACAGCGAGCCAGACTTTTCATGTCTTTCACTTTCAGTGGTCATGTCTCACAGCCATAAGGAAGAATGGAGCGGCCTGCTGAGCAGTACACACGCCCTTTGGTCAATAGTCAGCCGGATATCACGTCTAGGCTAAAGATGGAGCAAGTTAATCAATCAGTTCCCTTAAAAGTAGAGTTTTAATTCACATGCTGTCTTTTGTATTCTATATTAAACACATAAACTTGGTGCGTTATGAGCATCGAGAGATTCGCCATACAAAATTTCATAGTTGTGAGAGAAAAGGGATACTGTTCAGATGCCCAGATCGAAGTGAGTGGTTGTCTTAAGCAAGTTCCTGACTTGAAGTTGGAGCTCCGCAAGGCAATGGAGCAGCATCAGGAGCTAAGTTCTTATGGCTGTCAGTAACCAAAACAGGTTCGTAAAGCAGTCAACCCTTTCGGATTCTGGAGTCCATGTCCACCATAGGTTTAGAGTCAGGGTTTTCCAGCTGCCCTAGGTAGTAGACAACTTGTCCACTAGTCCGGATGTAGGTGTCGGACTCTTGCATGCGCCCTTTCACTTTTGTGAGGAACACCTAACTGTGTGAAGACAGAGGTAAACACTATGAATGTTTGTACACAAAAGAGCATTTGGAAAGGAAGATCGAAGTCCATCCATTCTCTGACGTTCCAGATCGTTTACAGGAGCTTTATATCAAACATAGAGCTAAGAATGAAAACTAATAGCAAACACAAAAATAGTCAAATACTTATAATAGCAAGCGTCTTAAACTGGCTACATCTACGAAAGAAAATATTTTAAATGTAATCTACTTTTAGTAACAGGAAAATGGTTAAAAAGACACTTTAGGAAGCGAATTTAAAATAAACGACGAATATAATATAAAATACAATTTGTTTTAAATAAACATGTGTATATACAATAATTTAATGTAAATATACCGAGAAGCATATTTCAGCTTAAAATAGAGAAAACAGGTGTACAAATACAATGGTGGAAATAATCACAAGTCAAATAGTATCTCAAAAAATAGTCTCACTTAGTAACAATGAAAGTTAAATTCCACCAGAACAAAATCATGCTTCTATAAACAAGCATGGGTGGCTATATGACATATCGCCTTTTATGAAATGGCGCCACCTGCTATATCCGGTGAGTATTAGGACATTTCAGTATATAGGCCGAAGCATACCAGGATGATTTCATGAAAATTCGATAATATTCGTCCTTTAATCCACTGCTTTGCGTAGATATCAATATCAGGCAACATTTTCTGATAAATGTGCAGCAAACGTAACGCAGTTGAAGAATATGGTGTCACTGATGATATATTTAGTCCAGAAAAAAAGTTTCAGTGAAAATATTCATTTAAAAAGCATACAAAAAATGTAACTTATCATTACACCACCATAGCAACGGAGTACGAAGCTACAGTTAGCGGCAAAATGTAATAAAGCCACTCAACAAACACTCTAAATTCAGATAGTATGACGTTGTAAGGGATAATAGTCATGATAGTAATAGTGACAATAATATTTATTTTCCCTACACATTCGATTTCAGATCATAATTTGATCTGAGTCAGTTATTACTCCGATCATTGCTTGTGTATATGACGTTTAGCTGATTAAATAAAGTTATCTAGAAAAAGCTACACAGGAATAGAGTATTTATTTGCATGAAATCACATGGAAAAGAAGAAGCGTTCAGTGAAGAGTTACTCTTTTTGGCGATTTCATTCTCAAGCTGTATACTCATATATATATATATATATATATATATATATATATAATGTAGATTTTCTTAGCAGCAAAAGGAATATTTCCAAAGATTTGTCATTAGAATTATAAATTTTAGATGAAAAATTATGTAGTGTAGAAAGCGTTATTCGGGTAGAAACTAAAAGAAAATTAAATAAGTAAGTTGAATGACGTAATATAACTGACAGGGTTGAGTAGAATTCAACTTAAATCTGGACGGGAGTCAAGTTAACAACAATGGTAATAAGGGGTAGAGATTTAATAGGTAGTGGGGGAAGAAAATAATACATTTAAGAAACAAAAGCGAAAATTACCTAGTTTTTAATTGGTGGATGGTGACTAGCAGTGGAATCCAGGATGCACATTTCGTCCTATTTGGGACTCGTCATCTGGATGTACCTGCTGAGACCGAGCACTTTGGTTCAATCAATCGACGGGAAAATCTAAAATTCAATTAAATCAATATGACCCGTTGAACAAGAGGTGGCTCTAGTGGCCAGAGTGGTCTAGTGGATAGCGCTTTGGCGTTTGAAACTATGGGCACTGGGTTCGAGCCTCGGTGGGAACACCATCACTCACTGGGGAAGACAGGTACATCCAGATGACGAGTCCAAAATAGGACGAAATACGCATCCTGGATTCCACTGCTAGTCACCATCCACCAATTAAATACTAATTAAATGCACAGACATCGTCGAAGCATCTGCTCAAGAAGCCGACATGTCAACCTGAAACCGAGCACTTCGGTCAAATCAATCAACGGGAAAATCCAAAATTCAATTAAATAAAAATTACCTATTTGGTGTTAAGATAGATCAGGTCCATTTTAAATTTAATGACTGAACAAACTTCTTTTGTATGCAGAGTTCAGGATTCAGAGATTGAAGTGAAAAGTAAAGTAATACTCGAATGATTTGATACACTTATAATACAATGAGAATGTCACAATAATAACAAGTTGAAATTATTAACCATTCCAAACAAAGCAGAAAGCATAAATTTCACAACACATTTTCTTCAGGCATTGTGGGTATAAAATTGAATTTACTGTCATCGTAATAGACAAGTTGGTGATGAACATAAAAAGTGTGTGAATTGTAATAATAGTAAATAAAACCTAAGCACTAGGGTAGAACATAAGTCCAGGTAACTTTGTTTATTTATACTACATAAACTGGAAACAGGACAGTGTATTCAATTCCATTCTCAAGCTTTTTTGCAACATATCTGACTATTTTTATGGCAGTATGTTTAGTTTTATAACTCCAATAAACTCTGTTCTTCGTTTATATTGATAATTTGTTTCTGAATGCAAGTGATGCATTTATCAAGAGTTTGTTTGTAGAGATTTGACTGGTTTCAAGTCTGACCACGGATTAATATCAGTTAGAGAACCATTGAAAACTAGGGAGTACTGGACAACTGTTTCGTCCTAGTTTTGGATTCATTGGGAGTACACATCCACCGGAATTCGAACCAGAGACCTTCCGGTTACAAGGCAATCTGTGATCAGACTTGAAACAAATCAAGTCCTTAAAATATAACCCTTGAAAATTAATCTGCAACTTGCTAGTGACTAGCTTCAGAGCGAGTTTGCCTGGAGTCTTAGTGATAAGTCATGCCCAGTGGGGTCTACCCGATTGGGAGTGAAGAAGAATACTCACTGATGACATCGGCTGGTCATGGCACTGAAGTCACTAATTGGTAGAAGTTAGAATTCGTGGGCCATTGAGTCGAATACCAGCAGCTGAGTGGTCTACGAACTTGGCTAGTAACCTGAAGGTTCGGGGTCCGAAACCTGATGGGTGCGTACTACCGACGAATCCCAAACTAAGACGAAATAGCTGTCCAGTACTCCATGCTGATTTTCAATGTTTCTCTAACTGATATCAGCCTGTGATCAAACTCAAAACAGATTATCACTGTCATTATTTCACACTTGAACTCCAAGTGGAATATAAGGCTTCACCAGCACGTATACATTTTAGTCTGTTCTCTGTGGTCTTTCTTTAACTGGCTCCATGATTATCCATAAGTTTTATTTTCTTCCTCAAATAGTCTCATCCATATCACCCGCGGACATATATCCGACTTACTGTTTTCCATTCGAGTTCCACTAGAAGGCTCGCAGTAGGATGTCACTTGACGATCTACTCAGTGTATATCCAGTCCATCTGTATTTCCTTCGGTATATGTGTCGCACAACGGGTTCTTGGTTGATTTGTTGGCAGAGTTCCAGTGATGAATAAGTTTGTTTTTTTGTATTTTTCTTTGTGCTTTGAAATTTTTGTAGTGATTGGGTTGATTTCCTGGGGTGTGGTTATAGCCCCACACCCTACCTTTGCCACCTAGTAAACTAGGCTACGTTAAGTGATAGATATGCAAACTAAAATTTTAAAGGAACAGTATAACGTGTCATATTTTTCTAGTTATTTTTATTTATATGTACTTTTGATAATGAAGAAATTGTGACGAACGGTGTACATAATAATCAAAATGAGGCTGAGTTAAAGTATCGGGACTAAAGTCAAGATCTTTCAAAAGTTGACCTTCAAGAACCGTTCAAATACAGGGAATGCTAAAAAATTTCATTCCAAGTAAAATCATGCCTACCTTCTTGAACTTGAAGAGGATAGATACAGTATTCTACTCATTTACTAGGTACTTTTTCCGTAAATACAGTGGTGGAACACTGATCCAGCACGCAAGTGGTCCGGAGTTCGATTCCCAGCCACCGGGACACTCCTTTACCCCACTAAGCCGGTAATCAGACCAGTAAAAAGAGAAGGTTGGGCATGAGGCCAGCAACCCCATTCCGTAAAAGTAAACACTACTGCTATCGAAACTTCAAAGCCTCTAACTTGAAGCCCTATGTTCCATTGAGAACGCAAAGGAATAAATAAATAATAAAATTAGGTAGGATTATGGTTTATGAGATTTAGGGTTAGGGTTTAGGGTTAATGTTAGGATTGTGGTTGGAGTTAGGAGTAGGTTGAAGAATAGCGTCAGAAATATCAATAGATCCCAAAGTACCATGACCTACAGTTACCTGGATGAATGGATATATCGCGCATGGTGTGATTTCTCTATAGATCATCTGTGTAGTGACTGGGAGACATTCTTAGAGTGCGTAATGTTACAACTATACAGTATAACATGCTTGCAATGCATTTTGTGTTTTTCAACGGTTATATCGTTTTTTCCCATCTGAATTCTGATTGATTATTCAAGGTCACTGTGGTTCTGGCTATAATAATTTAACTTTACCCAAAATGATTCATAACTGTTGAAAAACAACAGTGTGAATTTTAATGATGAGAGGTATAAATTCTTGTTTTCATAGTGTGTATACGGTATTATGATGTAGAATGCAAAATGCACTTTACCAGTGTTTGATGTTTATTACATCAACTTGTAATCAATAAAAGATTTGTAATTTTCATTACTTTATTTTATTTTAAGTAATACGCAGTTTTATTCTTCAGTGGAATTGTTCCCTTCAATGCAGAATAATGTGCGTCGGTAGCACAGCGGTTAGGAGTCTCGCTGACCATGCACATGGTCCAGGGTTCGATCCCCTGCCGGCGCACACCTTGATATCAATGGTCGGCCTGCAAAATTTGGGCTACGGATATCAAATGTTGAAAATTGCATACTTGTACAAAAAATGCTGTGTGGTTTCAAGTTGTAATAAAAAAAATAAAAAAATAGAACTGCTGAAGAAAATATTTAATGTAGGTTGTATAACTAGGGCATTCTGGCAGAATGTCATTCCATACCAGATAGGTTTATATCAAATATCACGCGGTGATGCAATAGTTATAACTGGAAGGCGTTTCGAGCAGAATTTATCGCTCATAATTATATCAATTTGGTCACACGTTTTCACAATTTGTCTTTTATATATTTTTTCTTTCTCTTTCTATCTGTCTAGCTTCCCTTTGTTGTTTGTTGCCACTTTCCATATCTCCGGTATAGGCGTTTCGTGATTCTGATTGCATGTGTCGGGGGTGTTGAGCTGACAAATAAAGATTCAGTGATTAACCTCTCTCTCTCCATCTAACTATGTTACTTTTTAATAGTTTGTCTCTGTCCCACACTACTGTCTCATGATTGCATTCAAGTGAATACGGTGAAATGCCCATGGAGGCTGGAATTAGGGTGGTATTTAAACCAACCAAATCTCTCAGAGATAAATTTTGTTGGCCTAAGGACGCAATAAATTCACTTAAGAAAATTAATATAATTTACCAAATGCCATGTAATGACTGTGAGGTCAATTACATAGGTCAAACTAGGAGATCGAAGTAAATTAGATTATCGGGACATAAAAATTTATCTAGACCTAGAATGATTGACCCTGTTAAGTTAAATAACCTAGAAAAAAGCTCAGCTACTGCTCTGCATTCACTGCATATAATCACAAAACAGAAGGAGACAGGGTAGAAGTATTAAGAAGTAATATAGTTAGATGGAGAGAGAGAGGTTTGTCGATGGAACACGGCACATGTACAATCGACATGATAAAGTGCCTGTACCTGTACAGGTACAGACAAGGTGACAGTATTGAACAATAAAATAGTTAGGTGGAGAGAGAGAGGTTAATCACTGAATCTTCATTTGTCGATTCAACACTGCACACATGCAATCGGAATTACGCAACGCGTATACCAGAGATGTAGAAAGTGGCAACAAACAACAAAGGGAAGCTAGAAAGATAGAAAGAGAAAGAAAAAATATATAAAAGACAAATTGTGAAAACGTGTGACTAAATTGATATAATTAAGAGCAATAAATTCTGCTCGAAACGCCATCCAGTTATTAATACTGCATCTGTTAAGGAAGGTGAACACAGAACGTGGGTTCATTGACCTTAGTAGCCACTGGTGGACAACTCGAAGGCCCGAATGATTGAATCGTGTACAAGCTGGAAGAAGACTAAAGAATATGAATAAAAGTACTGGTGCATTCCTTATAAAAGATTTGTTTATAGGCCTTTGTTCGATATAGAATTTAACTGCCGAACAATATATCTTCTTACTACAAGTCCTTGTGTTTTGGAGTTACATTCGACTATCGTTCACCGTAATTATCGATTCGGAGAGTCTTCGCAAGTTCCTTGACAACATCGTTGTATGATATTTGATATAAACTTATCTAGTATGGAATGACATTCGCCTAGAATGCCCAAGTTATGCAACCTACATTAAATATTTTCTTCAGCAGTTCTATTTATATACACTGAAGAATAAAACTGCGTATTACTTAAAAAAATAAGGCAAATCATGAAGTCGTTTGACTCTAATATGATTATCAGCAATAAATTCTGCTAAAAACATCATCCAATTATTAATCCTGCATCACTGTGTGGTATTTGAAATAAAATTATCTAATATGGAAGAAAGCGTTTCCGTGAAATTGATTATCGAATTGTCCCCACTTCTTTTTCAACTCCATTAAGCGATCAACACTTTGGCTGAAGATCTTCGAAAAATGAGTGAAGAAAATTTTAAGGAAAAGATTTACTGGGTGATTGTAGATGATACTGAAAATTCAAATTTTGTAGAAAGTTTTCAGGATGAACAAGAACAATCGGAAGAGCTCATAGCAGGTAAATGCCAACGGATTTACACTTTACTTCATATCTCATTTATTTTCGATTGAATAATGCTACAATAGAACTGATAATTATTAACAGTAGTTTTAAATGATGTTATATTCTATCTGACATGTGAAGAATATGTTAGTCATTAAGCCTTCAACTGTATAATAATCTGAGCATACAGTGGATTCGGTCTATAGTGTTGTTATTTTTCAGTTCAAAAATTAAGTTACTCAAGCCCTGTCTTTATAATTAGCTCTACAGCACAAAACATTTAATAAACACGCTTTGGTGGGACACTAGTAACAAGTGTGATGTGTCTAGTCCTGTGTTTACTGCAGACTGAATTTTATCAGTCAAGTTTGCAATGTGGTCACGATTCTACGTAGCTCGCCATCACCGTGCACATTGATCTGATGACATTAAATGGTTAGAGGCAATCATCAGGAAGCCTTGTGTGACCTGGGTTTCGTGCTAGTTGGCACTCACCAGTCAGCAAGAGGTATCTGCAACCACATTGGAGGAACTCATGTCCCTCCTCTCCAGCATTTGAACCCACCTCACCCAGTGCTGCAGTCACGAACACGAAGTTCACTGAATCTCGAGTATGTAAGAAAGTTAAATTGTAAGTATGTGATCAAATCATCTATCAACGTGATGACAGTCAGTGAAGAGTAGTAACTATGGAAAAAGAAGAATTAATTGGTGTGGTTTTAGAACTTCAGAACTACAGAATGCTTTCAATGTATGTTATCCATGCCCAGTATTTGTAGTAAAAGTGAGATGGAAAAAGTAAGGCCATCAGACTGTTATTCTTAGGTCTAATGTTGAATTGGTGAGTACAAGTTTAAATAACAAGTTTGATGAGACAACTCAAATTATTCTGTCACAAATTTCAATGACTAAGACCAAAACTTTTCATGCAACTGCTACATTTAATATTCCATTTTCTGTTTTCCACTCATCCGCTTAAGGTTACCACTAACATCCATTAGATTCTCTTTCTTTTTCTTCTTACAGTTCTCTTGCTTTTTGCATAAACAAAATATTTCTTTCTCTATGTCACTTCGAAACAAAAGCATTACCACCAAGGGAGAGAAATTCCTAGAATGTCTACAACCGAACCACCGTAGGAATTTGAATACTAGGTGACGAAAACAAATTAGTTATGTATTATTATTGTTCCCTTGGGTTCCTAGTGGAACATAGGGCTTCAACTGCACGTCTCCACTTGCTTCTGGCTTCTGCTGTACTTTCCACTTGCATCCATGTTAGTACATACTGTTTCAACTCCTCTTCACACGATATCCTCCATGTCACCCTTGGACGTCCCACTCGCCACTTCCCTTTCGGGTTCCACTCGAGTACCGGCCTGACGCGCGATGTCCTCCAGCGGCCTCCTCAGCGAGTGTCCAATCCATCTCCACTTTCTCCTGCATATTTGTCGGGCGATTGGTTCTTGTTTTGTTTGTTTCCATAGTTTCTTGTTTGTGATTCTTTCCGGCCATCTGATCTTCAGTATAGAGCGAAGACAGTTGTTGTTGATAAAGGTCTGCAACAGGCTGTTGGAAATATTCTTTGTGACCCGCCAAGTTTCTGATCCGTATAGCAAAACAGACTTGACGTTTGTATTGAAAGTCCGAATTTTGTTGTCGATGCTGAGTGACGAAGATTTCCAGATTGGTTTCAGGTTGATGAATGTGTTTCTTGCCTTCCCGATTCTCGATTTGACATCCTCGTCCGTTCCTCCTGTGGTTGAGACAATGCTCCCTAGATAAGTGAATGAAGTAATTTCTTTCAAATCCCTCCCGTTGATGGTGATTGGCGGTGGATGTTGCTGCTGTTGTTGGTTGTTTATTTTCATGACCTCCGTCTTGTCTATGTTCACCTGGAGTCCTGTCTTCGCTGCCAGCCTCTTCGACTAGTTTGTCGGTTTTTGCTTGTAAGTCTTCGATTTTGTGTGACATCAAACATAAATCATCCACGCGCGAAATCCAGGTCTTCTAGGTTCTTCGCGTCGGTCCAGGATATCCCTGTCTTCTCGTTTCCCGCTGCCTGACGCATAATCCAGTCCACCACAATTAGGAATATCATTGGTGATAATAAGCACCCTTGTCTGACTCCTGTGTTTACTCCAAACGCTTCGCTGAGTTTTCCGTTGTGGATCACTTGACATGTGCCGTTGTCGTACAGTTGTTGAATAAGGTTGATGAATATTTGGGGTACGCCGTAGTACTCGAGTAGTTTCCAAATTACTTCGCGGTCAACGCTGCGCTGTTGAAGGCCTTCTCAAAGTCTATAAAGTTGAGGTAGAGATTTGATTGCCATTCCATGCTTTGTTCTGTGATGATGATGCGTAGAGTTGCAATTTGGTCAGAACATGATTTGCCTTTCCTGAATCCAGCTTGTTCTGGTCGGAGTTCTGTATCCAGTGCGTCCTTGATTCTCTCCAGGATGATGCGACTCAGGATTTTACTTGGCGTTGACAGGAGCATGATTCCTCGCCAGTTCTTGCAGAGTCCCAGGTCGCCCTTCTTTGGTAGTTTCACGAGGTAACCTTTCCTCCAGTCAGTATGCACCTTTCCCTCTTTCCAGTCCTTTTGCAATAATGGAGTCAGCATATCTGCCGTCGTTTCTGGGTCCGCTTTCAGTGCTTCCGGGGGTATTCCATCTGGTCCAGCTGCTTTTCCAGCTTTCAGAAGCTTGATTGCATTCATGACTTCAGTTTTCGTTGGAGGATTGGTGTCAACTTGCAGTTGTGTTTGTGCTGTTGTTAGTATTTCTGGACGGGTTGTAGGTGGTGGTCGGTTCAAGAGTCCTTTGAAGTGGTCCGCCCATTGTTTAATCTGTCTTTCTTCTTTGGTAATTGGGTTCCCTTGGCTGTCTTTTACAGGTTTCATTTGTGTTGATCTCTTCCCGGATAGAGACTTGGTTATCTGATATAGTGTCCTCAGGTCCCTTTTGCCTGCTGCCTTCTCAGCTTCAGTAGCCAGGTTGTCGTAGAATTGTCTTTTGTCCTTCCTGGCACTCTTCCTCACTTCTTTGTCCAGTGCTGTGTAAGTTGAGCAAATTAGTTATGTCCAAGCTTCAAATTTTTTCAAAGTGACGTTTTGCTATTTAAACTGCAATAAACTGACGACTAACACTTGAGCAGTAGACACTTTTAATCATAAGTACAGATATTTTTGTTCTATGTGGTATACAACCAAAACGCAAAGGCTTGCTGGTTGCTGTGATGACAAACTCGTAATTCTCGCATAGTCTATATAAAGAATATTCTTTAAAACACCAATTACAGATACTTTGTTCTCACTGTAGAGACATTTGAAGTTTTTGTGATGGATGATAGGAACAAAAGATGTTTAGATACAACCAATAGCTATGGCTGATAATTAGTCACGGGGAATTCTCAAACATTAACTACTCAATCAGTGAAGGTATAAGTATAGAAAGGATAATTTATTAATTCGACAGGATCAGTATTTAGAAAAATATAGGAAGGAAAGAAGGCCAGGTTTTCCATTCATTCATCAACTAGTTGCACTACAAACTTGATTTCTATTCTATGAAGTCTTCAATATCAAGCCTGAACATTTTAGTACATTTGTTGACATTATTACTACGTAGTCTATGCCAATGATTTCATCATTATTGAGCTTACCAATTAATTAATAAAGTTTTGCTTCAAACAGCTTTAATTCACCCTTGATAGTTACAATTTTCTCTGACATTTTATTAGCCCACTGTCTAACTTCGTTTTTAAAGGTATTAATCATAGTTTTAGCTTGTAAAAGTCACTATTCCAAAATGGAATCATATAAAAAAGAAAGGATACTTTAAACATTATGTATATCTATATATTTTGAATCAAGAAAGAATGAACATATATATAGAGGATAATACGAGCTCGGTTTATTTCATGGATTCTCTTCAGCTACGTACATCCTAAATAAATCAGTCATTATATACATTACAAAATTTCTCAATATACTATCTACAACGATTTCAAGTTATACATAGAAAGTATAAGCAACATAATTTCAAAGATGATGTAAATAGACAATTACTTAGTGTTAAAAGAGTAATTATTTATATAGAAATTAGACAAAGGGATGGAATTCAGATTTCTCTTGGGAACAAGGAGGGACTAAAGAGCAAATACACGATGGAACAACAGAGTTAATTTACACATATTACGGTGGAAAGTTCAAGAGAAGGGGGCCGTGAATAGTGAGGTAAAATCATAAAATAGATAAAATAGTTTAATTTAGTAGATTTGGAAAGCTTAATAGTGAGTTCAACTCAGTGAGTCAAAATCGAAATCAAGATTGAGTCGAATGTTACCCAACAGGGTAAAACACAAAAGCACACGAACAGGACAAGTATGGTTAACAGGGTAATGTTAGATTAGTCACACTATCTTTCTGTATGTATAGCTTTGGTTGAAGTATTTGATGGCAATGGCTTCTGCGAACCGAAGTGACCATGCTTTTCTATGTGTATTGATAATTTGGAAGCCTGACTAATTTCCACTGTATGTCCTGTGTCAATTAGGTGTCTGGCGATTGCACTTGAGAAAACTTTGTTGCCTTCAAAACGGAGAATTTTAGGGATATGGTAGGAGGATTTATAATAGATGCTCTCCTTTTGGCCCTTCCTATGTGTTTGCTGCTGCAAGTGCAGGTGAACTGATAAATGTAGCTGGAGTTGACATGAATAGGATACTTATCTACTTTTGACTGGGTTAACGGGCATGATGTGTTGTAGAGTGGAATGAGTCTAGCGGAGAGAAGTGTTCTTTACAATGTACTCTTAATTCTATTTTCCGTTCTTATGGATACTTCTTTGCCTTTGTATGGCATAAATTAATTCCGTTTTTCTATCTTCTAATTTGTCTCTAATACATCCTTGTTTCCAAACGAAATCTGAATTCCACCCCCTTTGTCTAGCTACTATATAAAAGGTTACTCCTTTGATACTAAATAATTGTCTATTTACATTATCTTTGA